CTTAACAGTGCCTCAACCTGATGCCAATTAGCGACTTATAGTAATGGCCTTTGCATTGGCTCCTTGGGCAATTTTCCAGCCAACAAAACGTTTTGACTAAAAACAAAACAAAACGTTCTTTTTATGTCCAGTCTTAATTACAGTGTAATTCTGATATTGAAGATATTGAGAAAATTGAAAAATAGTCGGTTAAGAAGTTAGTGCTCAAAGCGACCCAGCAGGTAGCGCTTTTGTCGCATGCGAGTTCAATGGCGCGTTTGTGAGTCTGTGGCTTTGTTGGAATAATCAACCGCTTGTTCAACATCCGATTATGATAGTAAATGATATATGCTGGCCATGGCTATTTCCAGTGTGCATTTAAGCCTGATTGCAGCTATTGTTGTGACCGTTAATTAAGCGTATGATTGTTAAGTGAGCGAAAGTCAAAGTGGATGCTGTATGTACATATGTTGTAAATGACCATTAATTATATTGGTAACACATTCTAATAAACCATATTATGTAGAGTTAGAAAAATGCATTCAAACTAAGTGGATTTCAATTATATCTTATAGATGATGATTTCACGAAAGGAAATAGAACTATCTGTTATGTTAATGTATGTAATAATATATTCAGATATCTTGTTCTTAAGTTACATTTCTTTGTAACTCATTTTGTATATTTTAAACTTAATTGATTTACCAGATACTGTGCATATCTCACTGATACCGCCATCAATCGAGAATAATTCTGCGCACATTCGACTTCCTGGGTCACACCCTCAACACAACCTGAACCGATGAATATTTGCCACTAAATCACGGCCAATCGAAAGTCATCGCGACTCAGTAATGAATAATTGCACAGCAGGTAGTAAAATTGAAAAAAAAAAGAAAAGCAAATCTCTGAGCAAGTCTCACAATCGAAATCAGTGCGAGATTCAGGCAGGTGTCGCAGGCTGCCGCGTAAATACATAAATCTCTTGCGAAATGGAAACAGCAGAGACCAGTGGCTCGGCTAATGATGCACTGCGGCAACTGCCACATATCCATCCAATCGAATACCAATTACAATGCCTGACATTCCACCAAGTAACAGATACAGCCAGCCGAGTACTCAAGGTGCGCTCCATTTGATTGATTGCCTTCCCCAACTCTCGATTTTTCCGATTCTTTTTTTTAGTTTTTAGGCTTTTGCTAATCATTAATACGTGATGTTATCGAAATTGTGGATAATTAACGCCATATTTGTTGCCAGCAATGGACAATTAGACGAGGCACAGACCAAATGGAAAAATAAATTGCATGCGAGATAAAAATCGCGCTCGGCGTTCGGCTTGCGTTTTTTTTTGCCTAATGGCTACTAAAATCGCGCTTGAATCGCTTGCGAATCGCCGGGCAATATCGACTTTATTTGGCGCTTTTAATGCAAACTATTTCGCATTTGAATCACTGGCATTTTCCAACTTGATTTGTCGCCTGTGCATGTCAATCACAAACATTGAGGTACCTCGACTTTTCTTGCGCCTGGATATGGGTTTGCATTTACAGCAATGGGCAAAATATTAGTATTTTATATGAATTAATTATGAAAGTAATTTTTAACTCGTTTTTGATTATATTTTATGTTAACTTATAGGGGGGAAACTTAAGGGAAAATACTATTGTATTGTATTGCATTTTTGTATAATAAAACTTTCACATCCTTCTGTGAAAAAAGAATCAAAGTGAGCTACCATAAAATAGTTTCCCTAAATATCTACCCATAGCTGTTTAGCTTTTTTTTGAGCAGCTTATAACACGATTTCCAAACGATAATTAGACACAGACCACGGGGCCAGCTGCCACTTAATCTAATGACAGTTCTCAGACCCGAGCACACCTCACTTGAGAGCCAACTCCCTCCCCGGCTGAGGCTGGCTGATCGGCCATTGCCTAAACGACTTCTGGTTTGGCTTAGATAGATAGTTATGTAAAGTGCTTGTTGGCTACCAAACGGCCAAACGGCTACTATATATCTAGCTGACATACTTCCGACATACGGGTATCGCTGGCATAACCATATCCATATCGTTATCCATCGTGGTGAAATGGAAAATCAAGGCAACTCCGCCGTGGCTGGCCAAAACAGAGGCTGGCACTCATTCTCCGGCCATAAACTCAATTCGCATCAAATGCCTGCCATTGAGCAAGTTTTTCCGGGCGCATCTGGATCTGGCACTCTCTCATCTCAAAATCAAATCAAATCAAAATCAAACCGAGTCGTCGTATTAATCAGACGCGATTGTAAAAGGAAACTTTCTTTCTTGGTCAGTATGTGATTTTCAAAGGCTTCGACTTGTTTGTGGATTTGACTTAATGGCACTTAGGTGTCGAACATTTTATGATTTTACGATCGATGGTGTTATATGGCGTTGTCTGCTAGCTGTTTGTTGATTAATTCTGGCCAAATTGGGAAAGGTAAACAAAAGTTTGCCTTTGTTTACACAAAAGTGTTATCTAGGGAAGGGCCAATCTTTTTTGGTTTTTATTACAATTAGTTATCGTAAAATAAAGGTAAGTACATATCTTTTTTTTTAGGAAATTCTATATTTGACTGCCCCAGAAAGTATTTATGGATTTCCAACCTTTTCTTTAAAAAAAAAAAAGAAATCCTTTCTCCTAATTACTTTTCTACTTTCGCAAATATTCAAATGAAATCTTTTTCTCTTTACAATATGACAATAATTAGAAATCAATTTACACGTCGGATTTGAGATCACCGCCAATCTGCCGCGACTCGTGGAGCATTGTTTGTCTAGCCCGTCCTTTTTGGCTGTCGGATCAGAGTCCGCGGCCAAAAATTTACATCCATGTCCATGTCATGTGTCCGAAAGACTTGGCACGTTTATGTTTGCTTATGCGCCAGTATTAAAGTCTTAAGTGAAATCCCATGTCACGTTTCAGAGAGCGGACCAAAGATACAAACCCCAGTCGAAATCGAAAACTGAAAACTGAAGACCGAAACTCAGCCCCCCAAACCGAAATCAATTGAGAATCGCTATGAAATAAATACTTCAGCAAATGCGAATGTTAATAAATATGCTGCGAGTAGTAAAAAAAAGATATACAGAGGCGAAAATTAACTTTAAAATTATTGCCTGTAAAATACATTTTCGGTAGGCTAAAATAGTTATAAAAGCCTTGAGTGACTTTTTAAGAAAAATAATCTCAGCTTAAGAGACTTCTCAAATTATTTCTTTCTTTTTTAATTTAAATATTTTAAATAATTTGTCTAATTTTCTCTCCGTGCAGTTTGAGTATTTTGGCCTGGCTTAGAAAGCAGAAGACACTGGACGTTGGTAGCTGCCCCAGGCGACGGCCGTCCGCCGGAGTGACCCAGTTTCCCGCCATCGCCATACCATCTCCATCTCTCCATCTCGGGATCTCTAGATCCAGCTCCACAGCTGCTACTGCTGCTGCTCCTCCTGCTCCCAACAGCTATCCGAGACTTCGTCTGCCGGCGAGTGGTGGAAAAACAAACTGTCAGTTTAACCATTTGACAGTCGCTTTGAGATACACAAACTCAGATATGAGATACGACTGCGGGCGACTGCATCCTGCCAGACAACCTATCTGGCACTGGCGATCTGCTCTCTAGCCCCCCTCAAACTTCATTCTCATCGTCTTCGTCGCATTCCCCCTGTGATCCAACCAATCCTCAAGAATTGGCTCCCAGCGGCGCCCGACAATTGAAACTTTTGCGCCGTTTTGGCGTATTTAAAGTGACATTTGCTGACAGTCGTCGGTCGGCGATGATCCCGATGGAAAAGATTCGAGAGGATCCGTGGAGGAGGAACAGCCCAAGATCTACGACACAACCAATGGCTGACTTTTAATCGTTGATCGCTGATCAGTTCAGTGGGAAGAGTTAGTTACTATCGTTATTGTTAAATCAAATTCATTTAATTAAGTGGAAAGTGAGGACTGTAATTGTTTTGTAGATTTTTTGGTTAAAGATTGTTGGTTTTTTTGGGAAATTTGAGTTGATTTGAGTTGTCGGTTGAAAGGAAGCTTTAAAGTTTTGAATAATATCAAAAGCCGGGTTATAAAAACTATTCAGAACTTAAGTCCATTTAGGCATAGACCATATTCTGACCTTATAATACCATATACTTTATCATCATATCCCTAAAAGCTTTCTGGTACCACCCAGAAAAGAATGATCTTAAGTTTTATGACTCCTTGAAACCCTATTTAACATAAAACAAATTGATTCACACTCTATAATGACTTGATTAAACGCAGATTAAACCGTTTTACGATCAGCTATGCGCTTTAACATAATTTCAAAAAAGTGTTCCGCCTACGATTTCCCTCCAAAAAGTTTTCATTGAACGGGAACTGTACGGAAAATGTGTCAAAGTGGCGCTGCTGATAACCCAAATGGGCGACAAAAGAGGCGCTTAGAAAGATGAGCGGAAATGGGAGTCGATGAGATACATTTTTTGATATATATAACAAAAGTCACTTCACCGACATTTACAAAAGAGATTTCTTTCTCTTTTTCATTCTTCTGCGTTGATTTCTTTACCTTTTCTTTTCTTCCCAATCCCCCTCCCCCGAAACAACTTTTCCATGTTTCCATTTGATGGAGTCTCTTCATCTCTAGTGGCAGCATAATCAAGGGGCCATTAAAGTAAACACACTAAAGACGACGCCGTTTCCCCCCATGGCAGAGGCACCTTCAATATGCTGTCTGTGATATGAAAAGGTACTATAGTTTTACGTGGGTTAAGTACAAGATGGATACCTATAAACTGCTAAGCAGGGGTATAATTTAACATATTTTCATTCTTAGGTTTTCAGTTTATGTAGATCAATTTACTGTTTTTTTTTGTACTATTTTCTCGAATTTAGCTCCTTTACTAGGGTTATACTATATATAGCTAAAGTCTAAATCATCACTCCCATATAATTTTCCCGATACCAAAGCCAAGTACGATGAGTTTCCAAGAGTATCTTAGAGTACGCACTCACCTGCATATACCGCGCCAGAGCCGCGTTCCGTTGCGCATGCGATCGGAGCTGCGGTTGCGGGGATCCAAGAGGACTCACTATCGTCGATGTGGATCCGCCGATTCCGGTGTCATAGCCCTGAGCATTGGCGCCATCAACATCTGCAAGGGGAAAAACCAAAAGGAAAACAAAAACAGTTAAATAAATGCAAAACGATGTTAGTAATCAAGTCAAGAAATGTTTGCACAAACGCACTCCAGCGAAGAAAATGCAAAAAAGTTTAATTGTGAAAATGTGTGAGTGCAAAAAGTCGGGTGAAAAGTGGCACATACACACACATGTGTTGGCCAGCCCTTGAGAAAGATGTTTTTCCATGCCGTATGCATTGGGTCAAAGATGACTGATGTGGGTCAAGAAGTCATCGGGAATTCGTGAATCTTTATTGAACTGCTGGGAAAAGTGAGGTGATGAATTTTCTTGTTAGGAAAGTAAACAGAGAAGACATTGAAAATTAAGATTGGTAAAGCTTTTGTTATTTTATATTAAAATTTCAAAGATTTTGTTGAATTTTGAGTTCTTTTTTGCTTGCCTGACTTTTTAAAAATACGTTTTTAAAGCCCAAGTTGGCCCCCTTTTTTGGCAGTGCCTCTTTCAGTCGCACATAATTATCCTATCTAAATACCGTAACACCAACCGGCTGAGGTAATTTCCATTCCACGAACTGTATCACTTAATTAGGTATGTAAATAAAGCAGAGCCCTGATCATAAATAAAGAGCCACGCCGGCCAGATCGTAAATCCTCACAGCCAGAGGGCCCCAGAGCAGGTGACACGATCGTGTACGATTGGCAGCTAATAAATCCAGTGGCAGGGAGTTGGTAGTCGTTAGCCCATGGAAATGTGTCACCACTTGGCTAAAGGCGGACATAACTTTCGGTTTTCATGGGCATGTAACCAGTAGGAGTTTTCATTGGCTAAGTTCCCAGTTCATTTCTCTGCCTCTGAAGTTTTTATGAAGTTAACCGACAATACGAACTCTGCATGCCAAGCAATTTGTACACAAACTGAATATTAATTTACCAGAAATAAAAAGGTGAGTATGCCAAGACCATGTATCGCATGATCAGTAGTTGCATTTGCAACCCAAAACCGCTATTTGAACGTCCAAAGAAATTGCCAGGCAATGCGAATTCTTAAGGGTTAACATTTCTGTTAAATTTAAACAAATTTTACAACAATTTATAGTTTTTATGGAAACTTTCCCATAGTTTGCATAATATTAAATATAATTACTAAGGTTCCCTCTTATTTATTATTTTTTTTATAAATTTTCTTTTGATAATCTTCTATCAAACCATAATTATTGTAGAATATTTAATATCTCATAGCTTAGCTATACAATTTTGAAACTAATTTGGTATTATTATAGGTTTCTTAACCCCCTCTCACTCCACTTTAAAGATGGATCTTAAACCACTTAAATAACCATTTATTTTGGTATTCCTTCACATTAAAAAACTAAAGAAATATAAAAAAAAAGAGGAAAAACACAAAACACCGGGCATTTTTATGGTCCCAGTGCAATTTCTGTGGCATTTTGCACTCAGCATGTAACAAAATATTTTCCTGCCTCATATGGCATACCCAAAAGATATGCGAAAAAAGCGACGAGATACACAGCGAAACAGCATATCTTCGGATACGGAGTGCCTCTTGGATACTGGACTCACCTTTCAACGAGCTGTTCATGCACATGGGGCACTGATCGTTGCGGAACATACAGGAATAGCACCGTTCGTGGCCGCAGGTGTCGATCAGTTTCCGTCTCTTGCCCTTGTCGAAGGATATGCGGCAGGAGGGGCACACGGAACCACTGGCATCATGCTCCAGGAGACGTCGGATGGACTGGAGATCTGTAAAGGTAGATTGTCGAAGGGATACATTATGAGTTCAGAGTCTGTGAAACAGGTTAGTTCGAGTATATATAAAGTTAACTTTAAAAAAACGCGAAACAGTTTAAAGCATCTCGAAATGGTAATGAGAAAATTACGAGAAGCCCCTCAAGAAGGGGTTCCACAAGCAGGTGTTTATTTATGATTCCAGGAATCAGCATTAGTCCCAAAGATTATCATAAGCTGCATAATTTGCTAGTAAGACCTTAAATTATATTAAATTTAAGATGTTATGTCATTATTTTAATAACGAATAACAAAAATAAAGAGAGGAAATGATTATATCCAAACTTAACCATGATTTTAAACATTTCTTTTTATTCTAAATTATCCAATTATTTTAATTGCCTAAATATTGATATCACAATCAAATAATGCCATTAATTCCAATTCCCTTCTCAAACGTAGTTGCCATTTTCCAGTTTCCACTCCTAAACCAAATCAAAGAGCCAAAAAACAGTAACAAATTCAAATCGAAATACACAAATCTCGTTGCACTTGTTTTATGGCCACCGTTTGCATAAATTGACTCTGTCAATTAAGCCTCGTTTGTGCAACTGTCAATTGTCTTGGACCCAAAACTCAGTTGGCAAAAAGAGGTATTTGGCTTGGATCGTTTATCGTTTCTTTTGACTTTGTAGCTGCACCTGCTATCCTCCTTCAGTTTTTTATCCCCACAAACTGACCATTTAAACCAATGCCAATCAGCGGAATTCTTGACTGCTTTTGCCTCCAACTCGTAATTGATTTAATCTACGCCGCCTGCCTGGTTTATTATTTCTATTAGCACTTTGTCTTTCTGTGTCAATATTATGTAAAAATCCCGGCCACCAAACGTCAGCATTTTCAATCGCTTCGTTTTTATTTGTTTTTGTTTACAAATTTTGAGTAAGAAAATTGCTGACAATCAATTCGATTCGTAAGAATCAGTGGCAATGGGAATACAAGATTTTTGCTAACGTTAAACTTAATTTTTTAATGAAATTAATGGGAAATTTTATTTAGCAAATAATTGTTTTATATCCAAGAAATACATAAGGAGGATTTATTATAATTATTTCTCAATATCTCTATCACATTTTGTGTAAAATAAATATTTATATAAGTATAAGCTCTAGAAACATCAATATTTAACCCTCTCATCCAATCAAATAACAACTTAAAAAACTGCATTTTTTAGCTACCATCTGATGTCAGCAATTTGTGGCCGTCAGTTGCAAGCTTGCAACCCCAAAACATGCATTTTGCCACCCTTGGGATGAGGTTTCCCTCGCTTTTGCAACGCATCTGGTGCATCGCTGCTGTTGCGTCTGCGCACACGACATGCCACCGGCAATTGCTGCCGCATTTGACATTTTCTCCAGTATGCAAATTGCAAATTACAAATTGCCTTTTGTCTGCGGCCAAACAAATGCCAGACGGGGTTGCACTTGTTGATGGAACAGTTGTCCAGTCCAGCCGTTGTGCCATGTGCTGCTGGCTCTGTGGAGAGGGGTCACACATTGGCATGGTCAGTCGTACGTACGTACGTACCGTACCATCATCATCCAACGCTGACTTTGCCAAGTGAAGTTCAAAGATAAGCCAGTCCTATGTGGGCTGTGAACTGTGGTTACCTACTCCCTACTCCTCTTCCTGCCTTTATCCAGAGTCTGCTTGCCCATTCCTCTTTTCAGAGTCCAGAGGACTAGCAGCTGCCACGGCCCACGCGGGAAAAACAAGAGAACCGGCGGAAAAAATATCAAACTGCGGTTTTTGATTTGCAATAAATAAGCAAGAAAACGTTTGCCTGTTTGTATACCCTGTACTTATTGGGGAAAAGAGTAAGCTCGACTTGACAAAAAAGGGAATCTTGCAGGGGAAACCAGTTCGAGCTTAAATAATACATCTTTAAGGAGGATATTTAGCTCAGTTTTCTTATTAATTTTAACTCTAATATTTAATATTTTTTCTGTTATATAATTGGGTATCCCCACTTCGAGTTAACCACCTTTCGCACTCTTTTTCTCGTTTTTGTCAAGTGGGCATGAATGGCTGTGGCTATGGAAATGGAAGTTGGAGTAGAAGTCGAAGCCCATGCGCTTGTAATCCACTTTGCCAAACCGACCAAACCGACCGGACGTGGTTCTCGTTGGCGGTTGTCGTAGTCGTTGTTACCCACTCTCGAAAAGCATCGAACAGGAATCCCAAAGCCAAGCGAGGCATCTTGGTTAGCAGATTGTCCGACGTCCATTTGTACTTATGCAATCGATAAAGTGCTATCTCCGAGTCGAAGTCAAGTCACCTGCTGGACATGATGATTTGTTGGCTGTCCTCCCAAGTTGCTATTTTTCTGTGTGGGCTTGGAACGGAGTTTCTCGAGGTGCTATCGATAGTAGAAAGCAATCGATTTAAGTCTGGTTTTTAGTTCATTTTTTCGGGGGAATTGTAAGAAGATTTCATAAATCATTGTTTTTATGTAAGGAAATTACTTTTTGATAATAAGAAAGTAAAAAATGCTACAAAATCCACATCCAAAACTATGTTTAAAAGTTAAGCACGCACTTAGCTATCTGCTCTCAAATTGATGACATCCTGCAGGAATATATACTCACTTCCTGTCTTCGTTAACATATTCTAGACTTCCTTCCAACTTCTCTAACAGACAGCTGGTTAGTAAGCCTTGATCTGATAGGTATAGAGTGTGGGCAGCCAAGTTGGTACTTAGTCTTAAAAAATAAAAACATTTACATTTTTATATGCAGTTAACAAGCTTAGACACGCACCACGTTCTATAGACCGTGGAAATATACTTAATTTCATGGGTATTAAACAAATTAATTGCGTGGATGCAGTTTCGCAATTCTTGGCTCATAAATTATGACCAAAATGAGTAAGATCCAAGCTGCTGTTGATTTATGAGGCCAGTTTGCAGAGTCCAATGCACTCTCTTGTTAAAAATTTTAGTACAACAATGGGAAAGTGCACTGTAAATTGCTAAATTATGCGAGGTTAGGGATTGCTTTTCCCCTTCCAATAGTTTTTCTGTTTATTTTTTTCTACGCATGCGCGGCACAATTCTGGGCTGCTGTTAGTTTGGCCGTCCATTGGATTTATCCAACTTTGTGGTCTGCGTTAAATTGATTTGAATTTTCCGCCGCATTTTCCTCTCTCTCTCTCGTTGCAGTGACTTGCCGGTTTGCCCCCTCAAAAGCTTCCAAGTTAAAATGTGCCTCCCATGTGGGCGTTTTATTTCAGCTAAATTGGCAAACCGCGAATGCGGATCGTACGGCTATATGGTCGGCGTCTGTGTGTGTGTGTGTGGGCGATATATCTGCGTGTCTCTGCATCTGTCTGCGCGCTTGTGCTGGCACTTGTTTTCCTTTATGTAATTTCCTTGCAAATTATTTTCTTAATACCCAACTCTCGGGCCTAATTCAATTTGCGGTTTTTTTTCTTTCTTTCTTCTCCTTAACCGAAACGTTCCCAGCGGAATGGCCTTTGGAATGCGGAATGATGATACCCGTAGTTGGTGGCCGGGATAGCCACAAATTTAAATTTGTAAGTACTTGAGTAGTAAAGTGGTTCTCAGAGGAATGTGGGAATCTAAGAAACTTAGGGCTGTGGCTTGTAAAGTTCTTAGTAATTTGGGAGAAGTTATAGTGAGAAAACGGTATTTGTTTAGTATTTTTTTGTCTCCTAATATGCAATATGAGCTTTTGTTAGTATATTTTATACCAAAACAAATCCGTAACTAAGTGAGTTAAGCTATTCCACTTTTTCATGCCCATTTTATTAGTTTTATTTGGCAAAAATGATTCTCTTATGGCTAATAGTAGCTTATATATTATTCTATAATCCAGCAGAATTTTCCTTTCTTAAGGGTAAGCTTACTAAAATTCTACTTTAAAATCTTCTAAAACCGATAACTTTTCAGTTTGCAATCAAGGTGGCTCCTGTGTGATCGAGAAATGGAGGAACAAAACCCACTGGAATATCAAGTGCATGGAATGGATTGAGTTAGAGAAAGACGAAGTTGATAGTTGTCCAAAGCCCTGGAAATGTTGCCATACTACGGAGTACGAGAAGAGGATTCCCTTTCCGAATTAACCGTGAAGCCCTAAACTCAAGCTTAACAAAGTGACAATAACTTAAAAACTGGTTTCCAATTTTATGACCCATTAAAATTTATATGGCCAAAACAAAAGGGCACGAGCTGGTTTTGTTCTTCTGCGAAAAGGTATTAACAAAAGGCTGTCATAGAAGATTATTCAAGAAAACTCAATTTAAAATTTGTTACGTATGTAAAAATAACACCAGCGGAACTAGTCGGTAAAAACTTAACAGAAAAGTGTTAAAAATATTATTTAAAATAATTTTGTAAAATTATAACTAATCAAAGTGGGTAAAAGCATTTATTGATAGTTCCATCTGATTCGCAGGGCAGGTCAGGGTTATTCTAAATGGGCTTTGGCCAATCTGATTGGACAGCTCAGGGTTAAGCGGAGAAACTGCTGACCCAGCGGGGGAGTGATGGTGATGGTAATAGTAATGGTGAGGGGATAACATTCCCGACTGGGCTCCAAATACAAAAATGCGTATTCATTACAATTGATTGACAGACGGACTGGACTCAGGCCCAGACCAAATCAATTCATGCCTGAAGTGAGCGCCCAACGGACCATGGACCATTTACCAGTTGCCACCGACAAAAAAAAGAACTCCAAGCGGTCCACTGACCACCAGTACGACAGACCACAATCGGCAGCTTTTTTGCAGCCGCAATTTGATTTTTTTTTTTTTAGCAAAAAACAAAAACAAGCAAACACTAGGAAAAATAAGTAGAAAAAGTTATTAAAAATTTTAGAAAAATTTTAATATTTAAAAATTATAAATTATAAAGTTTCACAGAAAGAAGGGTAACCTTAAACCTTTTGCTTTCATCATTTTAAAGTGAAAATGACTGAAAAATTAAATCACAGTTTTCTGACTGTTGGCAAATGATTTTCCAGTGACATGAAACATTTTCCACTTTGGCAGTTTTTCATTGTTCATATAAATATTTTTTTGTTAACAACATTGACTTTAGTTTTTGGTTTTGTTTATGTTTAATTGCTTTTATCATAAATTTGATATTGTGTTTTAGATTTGATCATTCCGAAGGGCTTTGCTTCGATAAAACATTTTCAAGTTCACTGCGTGGGTGAAAAGTGTTTTTATTTTTCTTGTTAGTAGGTTTTTTTTCGCCTTTTATTGTAAACATTTTGCGTGGGTCATGGTTGGCATTGTTGTTATTTTTTCGAGAGCAGCAGCCAAGTGGATAGTGTTTGTCATCGCTGGTTTTCGAGTGAGTCAGCTTCCCGGCGAGTCGGAAGTGAATCGCAGCGATCTATAATTATGCCGCTATTTCTCTGCACTTCAATTTGCATTATTCCACAGAATATAGGAATGTGACTATTTATAGAGAAGTGGTGACAAAATAAAAGAAAACAACGAAGAGAAAGGTAGTTAAAAACAGAAAAACAAAACAGTTAAGACAGAAAAAGCAAACGAAAACAAATCAAATTAACCGCGAAATTGGATGTTTCTTGTTATTTTTTCTCTCGTTTCTGCTAGTTAACTTAACGCATATTTTTTGGAAAGTAAAGTAAGACCAGAAACAAACTGTTAAATGTGTCATAAAACCGCGAGAGCTGTCCGGTTAAATGAGTTGCAAACAAATCGGCGACCATAAATAACCCAAATGGCCGCTCGAATGGCAAATTTCGTGAGATTCTGCACTTTGATGCGCTCTCTCAAAGTTCGTGAAAACGTGAGTTGAGTTCGTTTGAGAAGAGTTACCTAAGCGTAGCCTGCGGGAAAACTAAAACTGGCTAGGAATACCAAAGAAAAAACCAAGGCGTTGCCAACTGGCCAATGGAAAACTGAAAACTACGGACCACTGAGCACAGGGCATCGCTCAGTTTCCAGGGAAAAGCCAATGACAAATACACTAAGGAAAAGGTAACTAAAATTTGTTTATAATTTTAGCTAGTTCTTATCAAGTCTAATTAAGTTTAAATTTTTACTAAAAAGACAAACTTAATTTGATTTTCCTCTAATATTTTCTAGTACAAGCAAAAGTAACTAGAATTTTTCTTCCTTTTCAGAAAGCCCTGCTAATCTCCCTTTTAGTCTTACTTTTTAGTATCTTTTCTGCCATAACTTCTTCTTAACACATGTTAAAAACCATTCACAGCCTTAAAAGCCAACTCTCTACTTCTGCACTCCACTTAATATTTGTTTTCTTTTATCTACCATTTAGCATTGACCCAGATTCCTGGAAAGGCGGCAACTTAACAACAAGTTCAGGCCATATGTGCCACATATAGAGGCACCATCTTGAGGTGATCGTCGAGTGAAATATCAGCATTAGTCAAAGCCAAAATCAAATGTATAGCCGTAAATTAATATTTATGGCACTTAAAAAGTATTTTTTTTTTATGCAAATCCAAAATCTGTGTCAAGCCGGCCGGAAATTTGCCAACACACACACACACACACACACATGCAGAAAATAGTAAAAATACACAGAAAATAAAATCACCCAAATGCGAATAAATCAAATGGCACTTCCGCTGCCATGTGTGGGCAGTGTGGTTACGATTTTCAGAGCTGGAGAACCCGCCGACAAACCGAATGAAAAGTGACAATTTCATTGTGGAAGACGTCGAGTATCTACAATTTTTTAGCCCCCAGACAAGCGCCCAGCCAAGTCAATGCCGCGGCTGTTGGATTTCGTACTTGTAAACAATTTTTGCTTGCTCTTTTACTGCCTTGTTGTGAAGTGCAATTTCGGGGGAAGCCCACGCACTACAAACCAAATAAGCAAAAACAGAAATAAAAACCAAAGGAAATATCAGCCCAGACAAGCTGGCCACCTCGTCTATCGGGTAATTCATTCATTTTCAATACGCCCCAGCTGCATTCACAGCTGATTCATTCACTCGATCACCCGTTCACGTTCCATTCATGAGACATTTTTGACAAACAGTCTTCGACAGACGCTGGCTGGCCTGTGGGTCGTCGCAGTCATCGTGGTCGTATCGAATATAGTAGTAGTTTTAGCCATGGTCCAGAGAGAGAGAGAGAGAGAGAGAGATCACCAAAACCATAATTGGCAGCGACCATCGATCAGTCGCCTTACTAATGCGGGCTTGTAGGTTGCATTTAGCCATTGATTTGAGTTCCCAAAGATTTAGTGCATCGCCTTGGTTTTGGCTTGGTTTATATGGCCGATCCAAGTTGGGCAATTTGTTAGGCTTTAATTGCCTGGTTTATGCGGGTTCGAGGTGGGCATAAAATCGGGTGATAAAAGATAATAAATCTTGAAGGTGTTTTTCTTTGGATTTGTAAACAAATTGGAGTTCTAAAAAGATCAGAAAATGTGTTTGTTTTCAACTTCAAAAAAAAAATCCTTTTGATAGTTTTGTTTTGGTTTTATCTACAACTTAAATTCTTGTTTTTATCATTTTAACCTAATGGAAACTTTCGCTGCAAAACGCTATTTAAGTCAATAATATATAACATTTAAATCCGTTTACTAAATCACCTCAAAAATGAACATTCCGTTCCACTTGATCCATAAACCATTGATATCTGCAACTTTAGATCTGTTTTTAAACGTATCTCCTAAGGAAAACCCAAAACATTTCAAGTCATAGCTTAAAAATTCAGATTAACTTTCCATCAACAAAAGACCCATAGACTAAATCGACCTTGGAGCATTAGTCTTATGCATAATCGGTTGGTCTAAAATGCATAATTATGCAGATGAAAAATCATCTGCCCAAAAGTCTCTTCTTGTATTAGCCTAACTAGTTTCGTATTCCTCCCTTTGGGCTTAAAAATTAGATTGAAATTAATTAAATGAAATTAAGTGGCTAATTTGGGATTCGAATTTCTTTAATAGTCGATGAAAAAAAAAAAACAAACAAGCCGCTGAAATTAGTTACGTATTTTCATAGAAAACGTATTAATTTAGTCGACTAGATGACAGGAAAAAAAGAAATCTTTGAAATATGTTTTTTGGTTAGAATTTTTCAAGTCTTTTGTTTGACAATAAATCTAAAGAAATTTGCTTTGCTAATGCCATGTTTAAACATCAATTTACGATGTTATCTTAATAGTTTATAAAAGTTGCTAATGTGCTAAAATAAATTTTAGTTATGCTAAGTTTTAGGGAACGTGAGAAGAGAGAAAATGTCTGGGAACTAATATTAAGTATTTGCAGAAAGTTGGCAAGGAAACATTAAGTTTTCCAAGAAGTTTAGGCTTATTCCAGTTTATATTAATAACAAACATTTATTTACTTAATCTCATATATTATACTGACTGATTAAAAGTCTGCCTTTGGCGCGAGTCTTCTATCTTGGGCTCCATCACCATAATTTGCTAAAACAATATTTCTGTTTTGGTTGTCAAATATTGCTGGCGACATTAGCACATCATTAGTAGGTATTTGTTGCCTTTTTTGGTTAAGATTTGTACTTCTGTTTCTGGTTTCTTGGCTACTGATCTAAGATCCTCCTTCTGGCCAACATTGGTCCATTATGCTAATGGCCTAAAAGCGGCTTTTTTTCGTGGTCCGCCGTTGTTGCAGAAGTTTATAATAAATTATAAAATATTTCTCTCAACTGGATTGGGCATAAATCTGCATAAATTATCCAACTGGGAACCCTATACGAGTATCCATCCCCCTCCAGGAATTGACAAGTTTTCAGCATTTGTCTGGCGCGTTACGCGACGCCATCTCGATGGTAATCTGCCACAAAGACTTCGAAGCCAGCATACCAAATGAGGATGGCCATCACGTGTGGGCGCCACTTCGAGTGGATGCCACACACTGGGCGTTAAAGTTTATTGTGATTTCTAGAGAATTATTGTAAGAATTTTTAAGCAATAAGAAACTCTAAAATAATGTTTAAATTTGTTGGAAAATTAGTTTCAAATTTTAAAAACATTTTTTAAGATTTTCGAAAAAGGTTTTTTATGCCCAGAATCATAATTAAAGTAAACTTATTTCTATATCCTAAAAATGCACATAGAAAATCTTGAATTTCTCACATTTTTTCTCAGTGCATCAGAATGCATACCCCATTTGTATCTTTCTTTTCTCTGGTGTTTTTAATGTGTCTAAGATTTAATTTCCTTCTTTCGATCTATTGCCGTTTATTGTGGCGTTTAAGGCGCTTTCTCAGCTCTATGCCGAAGATCATTAATCAATTCTTTCCCTGGGCGGGGCTGGTAAATATTTTGACCAATATTTGTACCAGTTTTATCAGTTTTTTGTTCGCGTTCGGCTTTTGTTTTTTATGAGTTTCTGAATTTTTAATTTGCTGTAAATAGAGCGTGTGATTGGCCCCGCCATAGCGACGTCGGAGTTGATTTCAACATTTTTTTTTTCGGTTCTTATATCTTAAAATATAACATTTTTTAATGCCTTGTGATTGATTGGTTTGGCTTTTTAATTTATAAGAATCAACGAGAACCAACAAGAATCAGGCATTTGTAAGTATTTCTTTGTGAAATCAATCTCGGAGATAGAATATTCGGTTACAGTTTTGTAATTGCTTGATTGACAGCTTGAATTGGCTGAGTTGGCAAAACAAAAATTAATAAAGTCAATAAGGAATTTAAAAATATTTTGAAGCTGTCATTGTTTTAAGTGAGTCCTCAATTGGTGAATGGACGGATGCGAAATAGATCACAGATCATGAGGTCTTAACTCGTAACTGACCTTACAACCAATATTTACATGGCTAACTCATCTTTAGTAACTTGAAATATTAGCTATTAACTATGGTTAGCTATGGTGGCGTTACCCACATGATTAATAGAGCAACATCTATCGTTAGAGACGATCACCTGAAATGACACTGAAGTTAGAAACCAAGCCCAAACCAGCTAAACCTCAGATTATGGCCGATGAACATGAGCAGCAAGTACGCCGAGAAAGAAGATCTAATAGCTGAAGCTCAGCTATCAGCTAACCACTCGATGGTTATGAAAAGTTACCCAATCCCAGTTTCAGGTGTTTGGTTTGTCAATGGATGACAAAACCAGTGTAAAACCTCATGTAAGACCGAGACTTTCCACTCCCTCCCCACTTGGGCAATTTGCCACGCTCTTTAGAGTGTGTATCAAATTCAAAATAATCCAGCTACAAATTGCCTCTAAAAACGTGATCGAGTTGACATTGAAATGTTGTTTTGTTGGCAAACTTGGCATGAAAAACTTAATAGCTACGCCACACAGATCACACATATCGCCCTATGAAATCAACTATATACAAATATAATGGACTGTCAGGCTTGGTTTATAATGAAAAGAACGGAACGCTTCAATTGATAATGAAAATACACAATTAAGAGTTCAACTGATTTAACCCGACAAAAATTGAAAAGCCTTACGTCTCGCTTCGATTGAATTTGTTTTGAGAGTCAAGTACAATCTTTAAATACAAAAATTCCTATAAAATGACATACATATAGCTATATATATAGTTTATAGCTTTTACCACAAGATGACATAAGACTCGGAAATATTTGGCACTCATTGTTCTTGATTTTGCTTGTAAATCGTTTGACCGACAGGTTAATAAATCAAACCCACTTTTAACATGGCTATAAATGCTCCGTTATGCTGTGGTTTGGCACTCTCAAGATCATAGACAATGTTCTCTTATATAAGCTGCCTATCAAAACTGTAAATCAGTTTAAAAAAAAAACCAAATGACAATGCGAAATGATAATGTCCAGAAATAGAACTTGAGAAGACTCGTAGGTAATTTACTAGGGAACATGCGAAACACAGTTTGTTTTGTATGGAAGATGTATGTTTGATAGGAAATAGGGTGTGTGTGGAGCTGGTTATCTCTGATCGATGACTGATCATGGCATGGCAATATTCTATAAATTATAAATTACCTACACATTTTTCAGTGCTTCTGTTGGCAAAAAACATTCAATCAATTTCCTGTCTAAACTTTCTATAGAAACTGCTGCTGCTGCTTAACGATTGGAACTTTATAATTAGAACCTTCCGAAGAGGCCGAAGATCGGCTCATCAAAAGTTGTACTTTGCCACCGCTTAAATGTGTTTACGATGTCTTGGCCATGGCTTCTTGAGATTGAAACGTCTCTTAATTGCATGTTAATTGCTCTAACCACCAGAAGACAACAGAGAGAAGATCGGGAGATTCTGTATCTTCCAAAGAGAAGTCACCGAAGAATTCTCTCGGGGTTTGTTCTGTTTTCTTCGGTCTTTTCTTTATTTTCTGTTCTGTTGTAGTTCTGTGTAAACTGGACTGCACAGGTTCGGGCTAAAACAGTTGCACTCATTTGTTGGCCCAGTCGTTCTTGCGCTGCTCTTGATCTTCCGTTGCGCTGCTTCTCGGGTTCTCCATCGCCCCTTCTCAAGTTCCCGAGTGCAAGTACCCAGTGTAGTAAGTGTGGCTATATGGCTGCGTCTCTGCCTTTTGCCCCCGCAGCCTCTGGCATCCTAAAGACAAAGACAAGTTTTTCAAGTTTTCCGACCGGGGGCACATGAAGTCATTCAAGTGGAAGCAACGAACTGGACGGTAGTCGTGGACAGGCGAAAGGCTTGTGGTCTCCGGTCTCTTGTCTTTCCTACTCCAAGCTGTCATTCGCACTTGAAGATCAAGTGATATATGTCTGGCTGTCTGCCTCCATATATGCTACATTTCTGTGGAACGAAGACAAAAGTAGAACCCCTTGGCAGTCGTCGTACGTATATATTTACATGGTATCAGGCAATGTCTATGGGGAGCCAATAAGTTTCGATTAGATAAGAATCGGGTACTTGATGCAGTCCCCAGTCTCCTCTATGAGGTGTTCCTCGATGGTGTAAGTGAGCAAGTTATAGACCACTTCACGTCATAAGCATTGGGAAACTGTGAAGTGTTCTAAATGGTGAAGGTATTGACTAACAGTTTTCTGAAGTGGTTGTAGAAAAGGGGGTCAAAATATATGGGAATAATATAATAAGTTACTTTACCTACTTATAATTAAAACAAAACAATTTTCACAAGGGCATGAGCATTCTTGAAAGCCCGAAAGACTATAAATCCCCAAAGCCACCAGCCCTACCTACTAAACTTAATGGCCACTAAAGTTTCATACTTCTAAGAACTTACTAACCCTGCTAGCCCTTACTAGAACTGACCGCATTGTAACACCTTGAAAGTCTAAAGTGACTTGCGATGCGATAAAGTCGGAATATAACTTGGATTTTGGTTGGGCCTGCCCCTTTATCGCCTTTTGTGTATTTTTGTGGCTTGGCTCAGATATAGAAACCCAGAACAAACCCCAACCCAAAGCGGAGCACTGACCCAATTCAAAATTGAAATGAATATTCCTAAGGTCTGTAAACGGGTCATTGTGCCGGTGTTTTTGTACGGATTCACAGTCAGGTGTTAATTAAATTTATTTAAACCCTCTTGAGGTAAATCAACGATTTCAATGACTCGATACCGAGGTAAATGAAGCGTGCCCAAATAGGTTTGCCCTTTAGGGTTTGGCTTCCAATTCGGGAAATGAGTTGACAATTTGAATGGAAAACTCGAGAGCGAGACCAAACCAGATATTTAACCACACTAGATTGGATAGGTTCAGCTTGGATAGAGCCAAACCACTCACACAAATATTGTGGCTAAATGTAATTGCCAAAAGCATCAACACAACTTTTATCACAAAACCTGTCACTTGCGCCCGACGACTATGCCAAATGGCCTCAACATAACTTTTGGACATAATTAAGCCATCAAACCAAATATCTTGGCCATTTGCGTTGACAGTAACTTGTCGCTGTGTTGGACAACAGTGAGCAAAGCATACGCTGCTCACAAAACTAATTAATTAAAATAAACTACTCAAAAATGCTGACAACACTTTGGCAATTTCTGCTTTTGGCATTTCGCTTACGACACTTGTGGGATGTGATGGGTTGAGATGATTTAAGCAGAATTTAGTGATTAAATCAAGCATTACCAAATAATTTTGATGGTTTACGGGTAAATAGGAGTGTTATCTGATCATTGTATAAATTGTTTTTAATTATTTTTCTATAAATCGAATTTAAAATGTGTTTATTCAATAATAAAAATAATTTTCTAGGGTGGCATCCAAATTCAACGTGACCCATCACAACTTGAGTGTGCCCAGATGACTACTCAGAAAGAATATCACAACGTGAAAATGAGAAGTTTTATTCAAGGAGCTTAAAGAAGAGAACGAGGAAGCGAGAAGGCGTAAAAACAATACCGCGATCACGAAATGGCAAAAATTGTTTCAACCTAATAGTTGGTTACTTTTCCCTAACTACTAAACAAACGATGGAAAAGCCATGGAAAAGCCATGGAAACCCGACAACTTCCCCAAAGAAACACCAAACAAATGTCCAGTCAATAACCAATCTGTTAGCCATGCAGTATTGCTGGTTACCACAAGAGCGACGTGAACCCGTTTTCCGGGAAAAGCCACCGGTGGTCATCTCAAATAACCGATTCCAACGCATCCGTGCCCATGCCTACCAGACGGCAAAGCAGGAGCAACTCCATCAGCTGCAGCTGCGCAATGAGGCTGATGAGAAAATCCGAATTGGAGGTGAGGAACTCCTCAAGAAATTCGCAGGCCGGAATCTCTGCATCTCGCGGGAAGAGGAGTGCGCCCGGGAACTTAAGCAAATGCAAGAGCAGCATCTTGAGGCTAAGCGACTAGCGGAGGAGGAGACCAAGGCTTCTCGTTTGGAGCATCAGAAAACTAGGACAAAACGCATTGAAGCTGCCCAGAAACTTCTAGAACAACTACGGCCTGGCCCAAGGGAATTACAGTGTGCTCGCCTACAAAGTGAAGTTATGCGAAGTGTCAATGTCCAACGTGAAGTCCAAGCGGAGTTCGCCAAGGCCAACCAGCGTCAGAAGGAACTGGACAGAAAGATCTTCCAAGAGCAGGTGCTGCGTGGTTTCGAGGAGGCCCAACAGCGCCACAAGGAGCAATGCCAGCAGCTGGGCCAGCACAAAAGGGAGCTTCTCCAATTAATAGCGGAGAGGGAACGGGAACGACAGGTGGGTTTTCAGAAAACCTATATATCATTCATATATGGAGTGTCATAAATTTCCAAAACTAATAATTTTCCTTTCCTACATCAGGCGACCAAAGCCAAGGAGTTGCAGGAAGCCTTGCAAGAGCGGGAGCGCAATCAACGTATGTTGAAAGATCAGCAGGACAAGGAAAAGCAACAGCAGGCCACCAAGCAGCGCCAGAAAAGGGATGAGGCACTAGCCTCCTTGGTCATGTCGGAGCAACGTCAGAAGCGTCTTCAAATGCTCGAGGAGGTGGAGCAGGTGCAGTGCGATATCCACAACGAAGCCAAAGGATACTTGGAGAAGCTCAAACGTGACAGAGCCAAGGAGCGAGTGGAGCAGCGCATTCGGCGAAATGAGAAACTGGCCAAGGAGTTGGCTCCTCGTCTGCACTATAGTGCACGTGAGGATGAGGAGCGCCACAAACGTCAGGTGGATGAAATGCGAAAAGTCCACAGTGCCGAGCAGGCTAAGAGAAGGGAATCTAAGGAGAAAGCCAAGAATGCCCGTTTGGCTATACAAAAAGAGGAGGAGGAGCTGTCCAGGAAAATCCGTCAAAGAGCTGAAGAGAAACGCAAGAAGGCCGTTATGCTGCGCCTTCAAAACGATCTTACCAATGTCCAGTTCAAGCAACAGCAACGTCAGGAGCATCTCCAACGAATCAGAGATCTCCGCCGCGATCTGGATGAGCAGGTTAAGAAGCGCATCGAGGAGGAGACTCGACCAGGTACCAACTACAATAGGGAGGCCCAACTGGAGGAGCTACGAGAGGATGCCTTCTTCTTCGACTATGCCCGCCAACTGATGGACGAGGCCAATGCCAAGGGGTGTCCCCTGAAGCCATTTATACGGGCCGTTGGTCAGTACAAAAATGATAATGGTATAGGAGCGGAGATAAGGGTTCCACGTCATATGGTAACCCGATTGCCCATGGGCAGGCGAACTCAAGGTGATAGTAAGATGGAGGGTAAGGAAAAGTCCTTGGCGGAACAGGAACCCAATGCAGATGAGTTGAGTAAGGAGGAAAAATTACAGAGACAGAGAATCGAAGAGAATCTTAAGAAAATTGAGGAATTGGTGTTGCAAGAGGCCAAGGCTAAAAAGGATTTAAAGAGCTCAAAGAAAGACTAAAATTAGAGAACATTTTTGATAAAATTGGAAATAGAAACCATTATATTATTTTTTAAGAACTTAATGCTTAAGATTTCATTTTGAATAATTAATCCAAAGAAACCTCAAAACAAAATGGTTGAAAATAAAACCCCTAACTTGACATGAATTGTGGTTAAATTTGTAGGCTGTAACTTGATGGCGAGGTATTTGAGGGATATCCATTACAGTGGCAACTGGAAACTCCTGATCAAATGTATTGGATTGCAATTAAAGGTGCGAAATTTAATTCGATGAAGATCGATTTCCAATGACATTATTCACTGGTTTAGCATTTGCTAAGACAGCAGGCTCAGAAAAGAATTTCAAAATGTTTAGTTTTTTAAAATACGTCACAGGAGAAGGTAGCTGTATAGAACTGCTAAAAATATTTAAAATTAAAAAAGGAAAATTAGAAACTAAATTACTCGTAGTACAATAATATCATAGGGAAATTGAAATGGCACCTAATCTTGTGACCAATTATGGAACTTTCACCGTAACCCTGGAAGATCTTGAAAAACTAATTTCTCCCCAAGAGATTGAGTGGTTGGAACAAAAGAGAAGCGAGCAGATGCAGTTGAAATTCGATCGTGAAATAGTTCAGGAAAATCTGGATAAACTGTTGCATCGTATCTATGATCTGGACGATCAGCTGGATATGGAACCACTTAGCGATGAGGAGTTCCAATCTCAGGACTCCCTGAGGAACAAGCTGAATCTGCAGCATCAGCAGATGGCCGAGCGACTTGTTCGGATTGGCAAACAACTGGCCAGGGCAACATTGGAACTCAAGAATCGGGGAAATGCAGTCTACGAGGATCTATTAGCCAGGGGAGTAATATAAAAGTACATAATTTAAATTTGTATTTTATTAAGCTGAGGAAAATCAAAATTTTGGGTTCATAAATATTTTTTATAAGTTTTAAATGCTTGTTTTTTACTCATTACTTTTGCCAGAAAATTTAACCAGAAAACTTATAAAAAATCAAAATAAACTTTATGACGGAAATCTTCTAAAAAGGAAGTTGGAATATTTTCCATTACTTATAACGATCTTATCGTTTACAACTTCATTTCAATAAATTGTGTAAGAAAAGCCAGTCAAATGGAAATCTACTGCCCCCAAAGAAACATAAAACCCATTTGATTATTGCCACCCCAAAAGGCATATTGAGTAAGCGAGTGAATTATCTGTTTTTTTGGCTCGTCACTCAAATGGGTTTTCAGTGAGGTTCAGTTTTTAAGGTTTTTGTTTCGGAGTTCTATTTACCTTCTAAGCAAAGGTCTGGCAATGAATGGTTGGTTGGTGTTTTTTGTTAGGTATCTTTTCTGTATTTGCCCGACGCTTAAAAGTTTTTATCTTCTGGCGATGTCGTCGTCGTGAACTTGTTGATTTTAGATACAAACTCGAGTCGTTGTCCCAGCGTTGTCAACGTGTGTTGTAGTCGTTTTTATTTGCGCAACGAAACGGAAAAAAAAATACATTTCAGAAAATAACCAACTTGAAGGTTAATGTATGTAGCTTCTTCCATGCCTTGTGCATTTTGTATTTGATTGCAAATAAGGCCGAAACAAAAAAGCCAAAACTTCAGCCAAAAAGGAAGTAAGCTTCGGTTTCAGCTTCGCCAGACGTTTATGAAATATTATGTCCACACTCAGAATTCCCAGAATTGATGTTTGAATTATGAATTTGAACTGACACAGGTAGAACTCTCCTTTGTTTCTGGTCTTAGCTTGCCAATTAACCAAAGGATTTGGCTGTCTAAGGAAACTGGTTATGAGATCACATCATGTTTGCCGGCTAATTATGTTAAATGATTTGGCAAATGAAGCGTCTGTATGGAGTCTGTCTAATGGAGTGTGTCGAGCAAAGGTCTTACAACTTAATAAATTGAGCGTATTTTTCAAGCTATAGAAGCTATAAATGAGATCATTATAGTTATATATAGTTTATTCCTGAAGTAACTGGAATGTTTAACTAGCTTATTTACTTACAGAAGTGCTAATCAAAGGGAGGCAACTGTGAATTAACATCAAAACTTACCTGGAAAGAGAAAATATACAAAATTAGTTATGTCATTAAACGTTATTTTTAACTATAAGATATCTTATAAAAATAGAACTGATCTCATTATATGCCCATTATAGTTGTAAGCATATCTCATAAAAAAAATCCTCTTCATACAAGCAAACATTTTGGCTCTTACACATGTACTACACTATCCTACAAACATTTTAATAGCTCATTAAAGAAGCAACCAAAAAAAAAAAACAACGAAAATTCCATGAAATTTAAGTAGCACACAGAATCATTAAAAAGCAAACACACATGTGACATCAAAATGTTATTATGTCTCAACTTCTTTGAGAAGCTCTTTGAACAAAAGAACAAATTTGTATCTAGCGCAAGTCGATTGGTATTAATTGTTTTGACATTTAACTAGATAAACCCCCCTTAGCAACCCTCCTAGATGAGCTGCCAATTTAGGGTTTTGCAAAACACTTGACAGCAATTAAGTGTAAGTGCGACTGACATTACTGTCCCCTGCCATTGACACTCGGGATTTTAGCTTGTCGTTTTGCATTCCATGGGTAATTTAAAGGGCAGCAGACTGTGGAAGGCGCCAGATCTTGTGATTATACAGATTTATAAATAAAAGAGCACAAAATTTACTTCTTTAGATGTTAAGCTAAAGTGGGAATCTTAAAAAATATTACTTTTCAATGTTACATTATGAACAAAGACCATATTTGGATTTACAATCCAAAATTCTTATGATCATCTGGGTGGGTCTGATTCTCCGTCTATATATGTTCCTAATTGTTTTACAACCATAAAAACTATTTCAAAACCCATTAAAACACTTTTATTGATTCACACATTTGCCATATTCCACTTAGAAGTGTCAGCGGTGTCAGTGTCATTCAGATAATGCAGAAACCTTCAGATTAACAATAAATAAAACAGAATTACAATTACAATTAAAGAATCGTGGTCAGAGCAAATCACGAAGCTTACAAAACTTGATTTCTGCCTGTTGTAATAAAAACAAAAAAATACGAAATAATACACAGAATTAAGCTTGAAAAATGAATCGTAACAAAATTGTGGTATTATATTAACCTGGTATTAACCCGGCTGGATCGGCAACTCTTCCGCTTTGTAATTAATCAATTTCAGGCACTCGCAATGCATACAAAATAAATCGCGCGCATTGTGTGAGAAATCAGCAGCCGTGCTGCTTGGTTTTATAATAAAAATGTTCAAATTTACGAGACAAAGGCGAAACATTGACGGCGGCAACATGTATCCAAAGTCTGTGACTCTGGATCTTGGATCGGATCGCGGAGGCAGCCAAACAAGAGCCCCCCTCAAACATCCGCAGTGCTGGGAAATTTTGCATTATAGTATATATAGGAGTATATGGCCGAAGTTCCTGGGCATATGTATTGTGTTTATGGACTTTCGTTAAATGTTTCCCAACATTATGAAAGTAGCAGAGGCTGAAGCAAGGAAAAGCGAAAAGTGCTGCCAGGAAGTCGAATGGAAAAAGCAACAAAACTATGAAAAAATTGGGAAAAATAAAGTTAATCTCTAGAAGAAACTTAGTTCATAAAAAAATTCAATTCAAATAGGAAAATATTTAAACCAACTTATAAGGAAAAGAATATTTCAAATTTTGTGACTCATTAAAAAAAAAAACAGGAAAATTCTGGACCCTATGTTATCTCTCCATAGCCTAGCCTTTCCACTGTACCTGAGCAACGTAGTATAGCCCAACAGTTTTCCTACTTAGCCATGGCCTATAATTTATGTTTGGCTGCATTTAACCGCCAGGCAGACGACGTCTCGGCCATTGAGCGCATTTGGTAGTCGTGCCGTTTGGGCCTGGAAATTTGACTGCGGTTACTTCCTTGGCTTCGTATCGCCCATTGAGCATCGCAACGCATAAATCAAACTTTGGTCCCGGCACCGAGGTTTTCCTGGCCAGAGTTTTGTGGATATTCCGAAAACGTTTGGTTTTGGCTATATCAAGTTGCCAGCTTCTTGGAAGTCAGATGGGTCCATACAGCCAGGCCAGTTGCCAACGAATTTATGGGCTTTTAATGCTGCAAACTTCTTTCTCGGCTGGCGTTGACATTGTAGCGGTAAATGTTGATAAATTAATTCGCTGCAATGTTGCAATATTGCATTGATGCCGTGTTGCCGTGTTGCCGTGTTGCCGCGTTGCAGGTACCTGGTGAGTCAGCTGACCCCAAAAAAGGGTTCCACAACAAAATGTCAAAATAACGGCGGGGGTTTGTTTTTTTTAAGCAAAATTTTTGTAAAGCTAAAAAATGTAAGAAATATTTGCTTTAAGAGAGAAAATTTCTTCTTCGAAATCATTCACATCCATCAAAATCAAAATTAAACTGGCTTAATCCGCTTTGAGTTTTCAGGTGTCAGATCAATTTCCTTGATTGCCAAAATTTTTGTAATGAGCTAAGATTTAAAGATCAAAGATTACAGAGGGTTCAAAAAACTTGAGCTTGTTCCGCCCTTTTGTTATTGTTTCGGTTTCATCTGCACGATGAATCTTCTAATTAAATGAAATGTTTAGTCATTAGGCCGTAATTTCACTTTGGCGAGGTGAAAGTCATAAAGGAAAGACAGCAAGAGGAAATACAGAAAGTAAAGACACTAAATCATCTGAGCGGCAATTAAAAAGAGTGAGAAAAAAACACTTCATAAATTACAGCAATGCGACACGCCCACCTTTTGTAAAAAAGCAAAGCCAAAGTTGATTATTTATTTTTTAAGCGAAAAGAGGAAACAATAAGTGAATGAATGAATGACAACACTCAAAATCGCATATTCATTTGCCAAAAATTAGTCAGCCAAGTGGCTGGCTTAAAATAAAACAAAAAAACAATCACCGATATTATGACAGCCACAGGCTTACGTGTAAATACGGAAAACAAATTTCAATTTCCATTCGAGGGCTCTTCAAAATTATTAAGTTTTCGGTGATTTAAGGCCCACGCTTTTTCAAATTTTGCAAATGTATTTTTTATTTTTATATAAAAAAAGGTTATAAATTAAGCAAGATTTTTCTTTTTTTTTTGTAAGAAGTCTTTGTAATATAAAGATTTTGTTACAGATTTTGTAGATTTTGTTGATTGATTTTAAAGATATTAAAAATAGTCCTAAGACAGCTTAAAAATGTCAAAAGATTTTAGTAAGAAAACTAAATGTCTTGGTACTTTAACCAGCTTAGCCCATTTCTCAATCGATTGGAATTTGGCACGCGAATTGTTAGAGCCTTAGAGATAAGATAAAGTGCTGACATACATATATATTTATATCGATATATATATATATAAACATCAGAAAAAGTTACACCTCATTGTAGTTTGCACCTTGCCCGCAGAGGGGCGCACCTGTTGCCAAATCGATAAGGTTTTTGGCGTTTTTTTTTTGTTCTGCGGGCGCCAAGCGAAAAGTCGGTCGGACTTTTCAAATATTTACAAATAATTAAAAACGGTAATTGGCTTTGCTTGTTGTTGTCGTTGCCTAGCTTGAGTCTAAATAAACAATTTCAGCCGCTATCTGGGCAAATTGTCGCGGCGCTTGACAAAAACAATAAGAAATAGTTGAAGTTAAAGTTAAGTTAAAGTTGGTTAGAAAAAGATGGCTTAAGTTTGTAGTGCAAATACTAAAGACAAATTTGCATTTGTAAACAAAAGTCGACAAATGTTAGTTAAGCGCTTTTTTGCACGTCTCTTTTTAAGTTGCTTACTTTTTGTTTTTTGTTTTTTTTTTTAGTATTTTTAGACAATCTTTGGCATGTTGATCTTAACTTTTATGCAGGGTAGGCGTTTGTTCGAAAACGTGACTTTTGATGCGAGAGTTTTTAATGGGGAAGATGGGCCAACACATTAATGGA